CCACACCCACACCCACACCCGGATCCGGAGATTTTATTTGGATCAGGTCCTACAATGATATTTAGATTGAATTTAAAACACAAGTAACAGAACTGTTTACTTTCATCTTTAGTTGAAAAAACAATCACATCGGTTAGATAATAGAGTTCAGGGCAATCGACAGCTTCGAGTTCAAGCATATCGCCAGCATGAAGACTAAAAAGTTTGTTTTCTCGAAATTCTGGAAAGAAAATTCATTTTATAGAAAACCCACCAAGGATTCTTCGTTACAATAACACGTCCAACAACAGTTTCGAATCAAGGCTTTTTAAGTGTTTCTCCACTGTCATTAACAACTTGATATCGAATAAAACATGTTCCTGGACGAAGACTAGATTCAAATGCACAACCAAACATATATCGACATTCATTGACTGGCAATGGTATTCTATTTTTCCAAAGGTCCCTAAACAAATAAAGTAAACAAAATTAGTACGATCTGCTTCATGAAACAAAAATGACAACTTTACTGGAAATTGTCTGGTGCATGTCTTTCATCTTGAAACCATCTCCGTTGAAGATCAAGAAACTTCTCATCAGGAACACCGAGATCAGACATAAGTACAATGATCTGGTTATTCAGTCGTGTTGGAACTATAGTGAAAAACAAGTGTGTGTGTTTTGTTAATTGCACGGGAACTATCGTACCTGGTTGACTAAATTCGCAAATGTCTAAAATCCAGTCATTCGATTCGAACTTCTTCATTGCTGGACGAATTTTCACATAGAATTAATCCGATGTAGATTTTGGTTCAACAACTACAAGACCTTTACAGCCAGCCATTCGAATTTGATAAGCAGATGGATAGATATCCTATATTAACTATAAAATATTTTCGAATACGATACAAAAATGATACATACAAGATCTAAATATTCAGTGGGGTAACCAAGATTTTTTGCAACAACTTTAGCTAAACCTTTTGATATAAAACCATTTCCATCGGTAAAGCAATAGTCATTGCGTTTAATATCATCAATCATTGTAACACAGTAATCACTATTTTGAATGCTTTGATCAAAGTCTTCTGCATACTTGAGTGTGATCTAATATCATAAGAGAATCATCATAGTTACATTGAAAATTGATGTTAAATTTTAAAAAAAAAGATTCTTACTTTACTTGGCATAGTCTTACTAAACCAAAGACCTAAACGTGTTATATATTTTCCAACATTAGTAATTCCACTAAAGTCACCTAATTTAGCTCGTTTTTCATCAACTTCTTCGTACGAATCGGCTCTAATAAACCAATAACTGTGTTGTTGAAGTTGTGAATTCGATGCACCAAATAAATAATAACGTCTATTACACAAAAGAATGCCTCTTTTTAATACCACTTCGTAATGTAAATTCGTCTTGATATATTCATCGTCTTTATCTGGTTTGAAATATACCAAACAAAACTCATTGATATCACTAAAATCCGGCTGACGTAGTACACGATTGCCTAGGATCCGCTCATATGGCATGACTTTTATACTGGAAGGAGTTACATGAACAACAGCCACATCATAGAAGAATTGATTGTTTACCTAATTTTAAATAAAAAATAATCTTATATAAGTTGTACAAAAGCAAAATGTAATATTCTTTACGAGTAGATCATCGTCGGATTTTGATAAGTCTAGTGTCCAATGTTCAAATTCACTTTCATTGAAAATAGTTGTTAAATCAAATGATTCATGTTTCTGAAGATTCTCATACGCAATGAGAGCCAATTTGTAGAAATTTGTTTCATCTTGTTCAGCTAAACTAATCATCGTTTTTTGCAAAGATGTATCCATTATGTATTTATTATCAAACACAGGGCCGAGTGAATGTAGCATCTCCAGTGCATATCGACTTTTGAACTTTTGATAATGTTCAAGTAATGAATTTGACCATGATGAATGTTTAGTTATTTGGTTGTCCATCGTAAATGTTCAACTGTTTAGTGATTTCTAATTTAGAATGCAGCTTTAAATGATATGCTGTTGTATTTAAATAATCGTTAGAAACCAGAATGGAAATATTCCTCATGCCCATCTTGGATCACGAACCCTATGAGAAAAAAAACACAAGTGAGTCAGATCGTTTCCACTATGGGTAACATCAATGTTTACAGAACGACTTTTTCTTCAGTTCGTGTTGTAAACTACCAAGTGAGCGCATGTTTTATTTGAGTTCGGGTAGAAATGAAAAAAATCGAAATTATGATGATCAGGTAAGTGCAAGAATGGTAAAAACTATTGCTTACACGTGGTTAAAGAAAAAAATCAATGTGTCATACACCTATCAAAAACGAACATCAAAACCAAATAGCATGAGGTTTTAGTTCAGATCCTACGATATTTATATTTTTCTCAAAAACATGTTTGAGATAATGAGTCTATGAACTTATGTATTAATGACTGAATCACACGGAGAATATTCGTTGAAAGTGTATTAGTAGGACAGAACACGAAATCTTGTATAAATATTTTTTTTTCTTTTCATTCTTCTGATTTACAACTATTCCCAGTGGCATTCTTTTAAATATAGTTAACATTAGAGTAGTAAATGATGTTTTTCCGGATAAAATGCAACATTTAAAACATTGGTTGTAGAAATTGAACCACAGACTAAATGGTGTTGTCAATTCATCTAAAATACGTTTATCTTAATCCAATACTCGTCGGAATTCTCAGTAAGTTATTTTCTGCTTAATTCTCTACAGTAACTTCGCAAAAACAAGCATCAGAAGTTTAGTAGTTAGATTATAGTCTTTTGGAAGATTTTCTCTAGAAATATAAACTTTTAATTAGTATAATTGCATCAATTTCAATTGAGGTACGTTGTAAAACAGCCATACGGAGAAGGTCATTGGATACAAGCTCAAGTATCATTGAAAACGCCGAGTTTGAAGGGTGTGGGTGTGAATGTGGGTGTGAGGGTGTGGGTGCGTGGGTGTGTGGCTGGGTGTGGATGTGTTTGCGAAAAAGAATCATACCCACACCCTCACTCACACCGACACACTCACACACCCTCGCCCACGCCTACACACCGACACATCCTCACCCACACTCGCAAACGCCCACACCCACTAATACTTTAAATACAAAAAAATCGATGTCAGAAAAGTTAAGTCAACTTACGAGCACTAGACCTAAGGCTAAGAATAACTGCTATCTAGACACTTTCATCATGAAGAACATATCTTGATTAGTTTCAAGTGGTTTTTGGCAAAGTTTTCATCCGAGATTGCTTTAGTGCTAGCATTTTGCATGAGGAATCTTATAAAGCTGAATAACAAAAAGATATTGAGAAACAGTCTTCACGTGTTAATGATATTGTTGAACTAATAATTTCAGTAAACATCAACCTATTTATAGTTTATGAAAAAAGAAGAACTTTCAAAGCGTTGTTAACGCTTCCTTCTGTGAAACGTTTGCTTCCATACTAAGCGTACAAGTTACTTCATATTGTTTGTACATACAGTTTTTCCTTCATCTGGTTCTAGAAATAATCATTGATCGAGTTTCAATCATGAACAACATTGCTTTTTTTAAAATCTATATGACTGTTACTTTATTACAAACTCACTAAGAGATGTTTTACTTGTACAAAGCAAAGCTGTTGCACAGGCCAAATCAAGAGTTAGTCACTCTTCGATCAATGTAGCAGATTCAGACTCTAACTATTAGAATGAATTGTTAGATTTATAACAGAAATATATATGGATGCAACCTTATTTTATTGTTTTCAATATAACCCCTCCGTTCAGCGCCGAGGGTGAATCAGTATTCTCGTGAAAAACCTTTTCTCTAGCGAAACAAATTCAACTCAAAAGTTCGAAACACCGATTACAGATTTGGATGGATTCCTCACACTTGATTATCTTCGATCAAAAATTATAAAGTACACCTATAGATGTAAATACATGGTTGTATATGTGCAAACAAACTGTTCTGTTTTCTTATTTTCCTTCCTTTAGTCGAAGAAATACAACAATCTCTTGTTAGAGTCATTGTCCCTAATAACGACACAAGAATTTTCACTTCTCTTGTTTATCGTGGTACGCCTCTGTTATACATCCGATCGAAAATATTTTTATATATGCAAGATCCTCAGAGTC